CAGTAATGCAGTACCAATTGAAACCTGCTTTTTGATTGCTCCTTAAGTACAGCACCACTATTGTTAGGTTAGGTTTTGTTATATTGTTGGAAGACTTATCTATTGTTTGTCCATTGTTTTCTCAACCTATCATGAGACCCGTTCCGAGCGGTGCTACCTGGCTCCTCCCCCTCCCAAACTATTAACCTTAGTTATAAAACAAGCACAATCAAATGTGGTGCCCTTGCTTCTTTCAAATAATTTTGTTCCTGGCAAAGGTTTTCAAGGTCCAAAAAAGGCTTAAGTAACGTTTTTATGGTCAAAAAAGACTTTAATATTGCTTGGTGGGAACTAGCGGTAAACTAGTGTGAGCTGCGTCGGTGTTTCTAAAGAAACAGTTGTGAATTAAACACCGTAAAAAAGTAGGTGAAGTAACTTACTGACGTTTCGGACGTCAAAACATTTTACTCCGACGAAGGATTAACGTCCGAAACGTCAGTAAGTTACCTCACCTACTTTTTTACGGTATTTAATTTATCTTTTTACACAACTGATGTATTACTTGTGCTTGTTGTCTAATCATCAATATGTTTTTCAGCTTCTACATTTCAATTTATGTGAAAACTACATCCTCAATTTATGTGACAAAATTGAAAAAATTAATAATTCAAAAAAAAATATTAAAAAAATTCATATCTTGGTCAATTTCAATCACACATCAACGAGTCTTTGAATTTAGATTTCCATTAGCCAGGCGCGTAGCGCGGACTTTTTATGCACATGTCAGGGACCGCKACATATATTTTGGATCTGGGGGTCTAACGAACGCCAAAGGCGGAAGTATTAAGGGAGTCTGGTCCTCTCCCCCAGAAAATTTTGAAAAAAAATCCAAATTTGAAGGAAATAACTCTTGGAAATGCGATTTCCAGCATTTTGAGAGATATCGAAAATTATGAAAACTTTGAATGAAACTTAAGGCCCCCTCTGTTAATTAGGTAATTTTACTTTGAGCCCCCCTACCTTGCCATCAATTTTATGTAATGCCCCCCCTCCCCTCCTGGTAATTATTGCACAGTCCCTTACAATCACTCCGGTCAGAATTAAAAACTGTACGTCAAAGCTTTGCATGCCATTAAATCATAGTTAGTATGATTAAATTTATAAGTAATACTAACGAATCGTTTGTTGCCGACACACTTGAGAACATTCTTATAAATATCAAGTACGCTTTCCTCGCTCTCTCCAGGGTAGGCCARCTCGATCTTTTGTAACAACTGCCGATGTTCAACGAGATCCTGAAGCTCTGTAATCTCGGGTCTATAACATAGAAATATCCACATACATTATTGTACAATGCATGGGTCTTATATTCACCATAGCCACTATGATGTTCATATTGTAATGGAATTAACCACGTGGTCTTCAAGAGGGGAAACATAATGTGGACCTTTTTAGCAGGGTTTTAAACGTGTACGAAAATACTTAACAATTTAATTTTGATTCCAATTTTAAATGATTCAGGCAATTAGCTTAAGAATTAGAACTTTGAGTCTTTTTTATAGATTGTTGCAAGAAAATGAAAAAGATGCATCMGTCCGAAAACCGTCAAATTTACGGACATAAAATAATATTTTACAAAATAGTATGTATGGTTTGTTCTTGTTTGAGGGCGTGTCTAAACTGCATAATAACATGGCGGCTATAGCAGACCTATATTACAATACAACTGTAAAGGTTCCAAGAATCAGAGTTCGCTTTCATTGTGCAAATACAATTTCTGTCTGAMTGAACTACAAGAGAGTATAAAAAACATTGTGTTTTCTTACCCTTCATTCTCGACTATGAATCGGTGCGCAAATGCTAGAATATCAGCAGCGCGACCGCTGCCCTCTGCAATKACCACGGGCACAGCGGGACTTCTCGTCACAGACTCTAACACCGTACGGATCGTATTGGGTCCTCCCTCGAGGACTAGTAGTACCACAGGGATACCATGCTTCGTTTCTTAAGCAAAAGAGCAAAGATCAAAGGAAATCATGTATAAGTGCGAACATACGAGAAAAGCATTGATTCATGGGATAAATCTTGGAATCACATACCTGATGACATCACATACCTGATGACATCACATACCTGATGACATCACATACCTGATGACATTTTTCTTTTGGAGATGGCGTTCTCCAACGACGCGCGGAAGGGTATTTCGACGCCATATTGACCCTGACTGCCGTTGTCAACAAGAATAAAATGTGTATGGTTGTTGTCTAGACACGCCCCTGATGACGCCATACTTGACGTCATGTGATACGTCACTGTATCCTGTTATAATTCAAGAAGGCATTATTAAGTTATCCGATGAATCGCAGGTCGTTCTAATAATTATGCTGTRTCGCTTTTGATTTAAAACGATTACGATTCGACTCAACAATGATTGAATCGAAGACGTGCGAACAGCYAGTTCTCTCTTGAAAGCGCAGGAACTAAATGGCACAGCAACTCATGACTATACAATATACARTTTTACTYTATTTTGACTGGCGAGTTGATATATTCTGAATTTGGTATGCGGCGCTCTTAWCATCCAAAGGCTATGCATCGTCTAGAGGAATCAAAAAACGAAAATCAAAAGACCAAACTAGTAAATGTTTTTTGTACCTTGTTGTCAATAAGGCTTTCTTTGTGTTCTATGATGCCCCATGTTGCGACCCCTATTAGATGCAGCTGCGTGTCATCGTCCATCACCGGATGTGACGTCACAGTCTGTCCCCGAACTGCCTCCCCTACGTGCTTCATTACTCCTGTGTTAGTTCCTCCAGTGATGATCCAAGCACCAGTAGTTTTKGCTGCCTRTGGTACAATCAATCATATGAAATCGAAGCTTGCTATGTTGGGTTWCCTGTGGTGTATATACCTTAAGAAGACCTTGACGAAGAACTTGTTTTAGTTTTGGATGAAGCACAAAACTCTTTGCGCCTCCAGTTACAGAAATCAGTAGTTTAGGCAGTTTTAGCTTCCATTCCT